GAGGACGAGGACGAGGACGAGGACGAGGACGAAGAAGACGACTCTGCGGAAGGCGAAGCCGCTTCTGATGATGAGGAGAGCGAGTGATCTGTCATGCATGGCAACATCGATTGCAAGTTGGTTCGCTCCTTCCCTACACCGACCAGACCGTGCGTGCTGCCTTGGGCTGACTACGGTGTTGACGATCGAGGCGGATGAATCGAGCTGGACGGAATCAGCGACGCGATCGACGCCCCTCGGCAGGACTCTCGCGGCCGCGAACTCGTCTGGTTGTTGCCAAGCCAACTGGACTGCCTTCCCTTTTGGGAGCTTTGTGCCCTGCGTCGGTGGATGAGCGCCCCTTCGAAGCAATGGGCTTCCAAGCTGGGGTGGAGGCGGCAAGATTGGACTCGGGGAAAGGGGGCGGCGGCATCAGCCACTCGGGCTTGAGCGCAGTATTCTCATAGGTTTGTCGTGGCCGACGTGGAGTGGTGTACTCTTCACAGAGTCGCAATAGCATCGCAGCTGAGGCATGCACCTCCTCCGGGAGGCGGCGAGCATCACCAGCCAAGTCCATCAGTGCCCGAAAACGCCCGTTGACGCGACGTGAGAGCCATGCTGCCGCGCGAGATGACAAGGTGAGAGTCAACTCGCATTGGTGAGCTGCTGCCAAGAGGGCTTCGGCCGAAAGGACGAGATATGCATGACGGGCCTTCGTCCGTTCTCCTTCGACCACAGGCACATTGCTGGTGCCTTTGGAGTCTGCGTCCGGGACTGGTACGTGCGTCTGACGGAGCGGCAGAGAGAACTAAGGTCAATGGTGGTCTATGCGCAGACTGCGGACGCTGTGATCCCAGCTTCCACTTACGATGAATGCTCGTGCGATCACTCTCAACATCTCTTGAGCATGAGACTCTGCGGAGAAGCCAAGCTCCACGGGACAAAACCTTTCCGCTGCCAAGACCCTTGCAGCCAAGTTTGCAGTGGAGCGAAAGAATGCTACTTTCTGAGCTGGGGAGAAGTGATGCAGACACTCTTCTGCTGCTTGGGCACTGGATTGTGCCGGCAGGACGCAGAAGAAGTACTTGACGGCATCTTCGAGATCCTCAATGAAGGCCTTTGAGGCCGAAGGCCTGGTCTGTGCTCGGGAAGAATCGACCTGCAATGCGGTCACAAGGTTCTTGAAGTGAACAAGCCCACCCTCGATGATGGAAGTCTGGGGGGCAAAAGCCTCTTCTACGATAGTCTCGATCCTGGCTGACTCCAGAACTGTGCCGGGCTTGGCTGGGTAGTCGTAAGTGCCGCCCTGCACCATGAGCGCCAAGCACAAGTGCCACAAAAGTGCTGCTTCAGCCGCCTGCATGTTGCGGGCCAGTCGCTCGTTGGAGGGGGGCCCTTCCGGATCGAGCCAGACATTTTGAAGAGAGGACAAGATGTCGATGACCTTGTCTAGCTTGTCCCGGCTTGTGGTAGGTAGGATAGGCGCGAGCCGCTGTGCAAGCTCGACCTCACGAGCAGGGTCACCTATGACGGTGGCCAATGCGTCACAGCCCCGCTCTGACGTCAAAAAGTCCAGAATGAGGCTCTTGAGTGGTCCAGCACAGTAGTGATCGACCATGACTTGGAGACAGTCCGAGAGAGCCAAGTCCATGTGCTTAGCTAGCATCTCGTGGATAATGTCATGGTCTCCAGGACCATTGATGGGCAGAAGCTGCACAAGTTCTGAGCAATTCCTCTTCACGAGGCTGTGGTCGCTGGAGCTCAGGGTTGTGAGCGCCTGATAAGCTTCCACACGTGCCTCTTGGCGAGGAACTGTGCACAAGCTCAGTACAATGTCCTGTACCCCGCTCCTCACCGTCGTGAGTTCCTCTGGCTTGTCCATCTTGCCATTCACGTAGCAACCGATCAAGATGATCAGGCAAGCAACAGAGGTGTGCATTGCCCTGATACCGCAGACCGCCCCCGGGCCCACATGTTGTAGCTCCGTGACGAGCTGGTTAAGGATGTCTGAATGCACATGCTTCCATCCGTGATGAAGAGGAGCACCACTCGCGACGATGCGGTCGTCTGCTCTGCGCAGAAGGTAGTCAAGCTTCCTTTCCTCGTACGGGATCATTGACGGCTCATGCGACGCGAGGCTCGTCTCGCTGCGGCAAGGTGAAGCAGATTGAGGCGATAGCGTGGGCTCTGGCGATGGCATCGGTTCCGGCAACTGACCCGGGGTGGATCCGGGACTGTGACCGTTTGGTCCCGGTCCCGAACGCCGTCGGCCCCACCCGTTGTCCCTGATGCCGACCTGGTTGAAGGAGCTCGACGACTTCCTCGTCCGTCCGGAGGATCCCGTCATTCTCGGCGAGATGTTGTGATGCTGGCCGTGCGATGATGGACTCCGTGCGCAGGCAGCAGACAATCTGGAAGTTTGGATCGATCCGAATCAGGAAGAAAAGCGTGTCGGCGATGGCGGAGGATCGTATTCCGCAAGGTCTGCGAAAAGTGAGAGCAAGCTGGGGGACAGGGATGATGGCGTGTCGAAGAGATGGTGGTGGATTCGAACGATGTATCGACTGCGACTAGCTGAGCAGCGTGATGGCACATCCTGTCGTCTCGCGTCGCCTCTTGCACGTGAGCGCAAGTGTGACTTCAGAGAGGATGACTTCATGGAGGAATACTCAAAGCAAGGCTTGGAGTAAGATCTTACACAGTGCAATCAACAGCCTCAAATTCAAGGCTTGCAAGCACTTAGCGGCTACTTTCTTACTGGGACTCGACGACGTGCATGTCTCTGCTGTCATGACTGCAGGACAAGAACAAAGGGAACGCGACAGCATGCCAATCCTCAATTCACGCGCTGCAACGTGCGGAATTAAGAGGTGACTGAGCTGCTGACCGAAAGCCATGGGAGCGAAGACTTCATTAGCCTGGTGCGGTTGATCTGTAAAAATGAAGGAGCGAGGACCGAGAAGATGCGGCCCTTTGATCTATGGCAACGTCGATTGTCGTGGCGATGCGGTCCGTGCGCTCCGGCCTGGTTCTCTCGTTGCGTCGCAGCTCGGTATGATAGGCACGAGACCTGTATCGGTGCCAAGCCAAAAACCCGCAGGAGACCGGTTTGATTTGGCGATGGCTGGGCGTCCGAGTCTCTTTGCGCCGGGCTGAGTTTACTGTCCTTGCGGGCCAAGGCCAGGCTGAGTCGAGCTCGGGTTGCCGTTGCTTGCCATCGCGGGGCTCCTCGGGTCGTATCTATCCGCGCCAGCCGCACCGGGAGCATGCTGGGAAGGCGCACTATAGCCATACGTGCTGTACGCATCACCGCCTCCAGCCGGACCGGGGTAAGCATGCGGTTGCGCGGTGGATGCATGATAGCCGTGCATGCTGTTCTGCATCGCGGCGCTGCTGCCAGGACCGGCTGCGTAGCCATTGTATTGCATGGCTGGATAGCTGGTGCCGTTCCACGCGCCTGCTGGGCCTGCACCGTACTGTCCATAGGCACCGCCGTAGCCGGGATAGGCTTGCGGATGCACGCCGCCTTGGCCAAAATGCAACGGCGGTGCAGGATACGCCTGGGAGCCGTTCCACGGCATGGCACCAGGTGCGTGAGGCGGCGCCGCTGAAGGAGCGGTGGGAGCGTAGCCGTGCTGCCAACGAGCCGCATAGGCGGGATTGTAATGACCAGTTGAGGCCGGCTGCGACACGCCTGAACCGCCGGGACTGTATGCGGCGCTCCGACCAGCTACATGCGGAGACGGCATGGCAGGCGAGGCCGGAGTGTTGGGTGTTGCTGAGCCGGATCCAGAGTACCAGGTGGGAGAAGCCTGGCTGGGATAGGAAGCAGGATTCGATGCGAGTCGGCTGGGTTGCGACGGCGAGCCCATCCCGCCTGCTGAAGCCGGAGCTCGATGCGGCGGCATCGGCGAGCCCGTTTTGGAAGAAGCGGCTACGGCCGCGGCTGCGGCAGCAGCGTCTATCGGCTTGGCAGGTAGATTGACGGAAGCTCCGCTAGACATCCTGCTGTGGCTCTGGCCGCTCGGTTGGCCTTCAGCCGTGCCAACCCTGGACCGAGGCATGGACGAGAGCTCGCCCGTCGGATCTAGTCCAGGAGCAGACGGCCGGGGAGCAGAAGAGGAAGGTGGCTCTGCGATGAAGCTAGGCCTGGAGGGCAATCCTGCCGATGGCTTCGGCGGAAGCGAAGCGATTCCATGAGGGAAGGCCGGTCCGAGAGAAGCAGCACTGGCGGGCGGGAGGGAGCTGGCCGGCTGGGCTTGACCAGCATTGCGCCTTGGAGCCGCGTTCGGGCCATTGTAAGCGCTCATCATCGAGCTGCGCGCACCCGCTGCGCTCTGGGGTGGGGCTTGATGGAAGCTCGGTCCTGCCGGGCCGTGGTGAGGTCCAGAAGTATGGTTGCCGGCAGCGGCGGCGTGCTGCTTTTGGCGCTTGTTGCTTCTATTCGAGTTGGAGGGAAGCGGGTTACCTTGTTCATCCACCTTGCCCGCACGGATGGCCTTGACACGACGCTTGGCTTCGGCCTCCTGCTCGTCGTCCGAATAGTCGATCTCGTCGTCAGCGACCTCTTCGTCCCACATGTTGCTTGCGTCACTGCCCTTCATGGAGCGCAGGAGCTGGGTGAGGACATAAGTGCTTTGCCCGGGAAGGTAGAAGACCGAGCGTCCAGTCTGAACGGCATCGCGGTCGATCGCGGCGGCCGAGGGGAAGCGAATCGAATACATGGGGTTGTGGATCGAGCCGAACGTTTCAAAGACGAGGCCGAGCACCTGGCCGTCGTCGAAGCAGAGCAGACTGCCTGTGTCGAGGACGCTGTATTCGCCCTCGCGCTCACCTTGTCGACCGGTGCTGTCCACCGGAGCGGGATGGCTGTTCGCTGGGTCCGACTTCGAATTCTGCTGCACATCTTGCTCGACTACGACGACGCTGTCGACGATGGAATGCACTTTGCCGAGCTTTCGCAGGGTCGCTTTGTCCGTGCCCGACAGCATTCGAACAGCAGGCTGCTCGACCTCTGGGGCCAGGATCTCGTTCTTAGTCGCTGGCGCCGAGCTTCCGCCAGGGCCTCCACCTTCTTCGTCATCGTCATCGGCCGCCAAGGCTTGGCCAGCATTGCCAGCGTCGTCCTCTGCATCCTCGTCTTCGTCCTCGGATGAATCACTACCGGAAGACTCGTCATCCGAGCTGGAATCGCTGTCGGAGTCGCTTCCTTCGTCCGCGACTTTGCCGTGCTTAGCTGCCATCGATGGCGCCGACGTTGTTTGAGAAGCGTCCGCCTTCGGTCTGCGTGATACTAGACCAGAGAGCGAAGAGAGCGCTTTTTGCAACAGGGTCTTCGTCTCTGGATGCTGACTCTGTTCAGCAGCAGCCTTGGCCTCTTCGATACCGGAGCTGGTCTGAAGGAGGTCTTCGAGCTCTGCTTCTGCTTTCCGTTTCTCCCCGCGCTGCTCGGTCGTGGGCGGCGCTGCGGAGGCTTCCATGTCGTCGTCGCTGAATCCAGGTGGAAGCGACTCGCGTGGCTGGCCCGAAGAAGCGCGGGCTTGGGCAACCAGCTCTCGCAATGCTTGCATCGATGCTGCAGAGTCTTGTGTTACACCCGTACTGACGATATGTTCCATGTCCGGTGGGACAAAGCTCTCGTCATCTTCCTTTGAAGTTGCGAGATTCGACAATGGATCTGCTAAGTGAGGCTCTCCGGCGGACTGATCATCCGGAGTCTGGTCGATATGATTCACAACGTGATTGTCCGTGTCTTCTGATGGTTGAAGCGGGTGGGACGGTAGGACTCCTGAGGACGATTCTGTTCCGTTGACCGAAGCATCTGCAGCCGACGTAGTTGTAAGAAGGGTCGTGTCGGTCGGTGCATCTACAACGGACGCATCCGCCTTCGCTGTAGCGTCCTTTTCCGGTGAGTGGGTTTCCTTTGCGTTCACTGTAACCAAAGGTTGCTCGCCTGGTCGATGATTGAGATCAGTGATGATGGCTTCATCAGCATGCCTTTCCGTCGGTGGGGCGGCATGATCAGCTGCGGCTTGCGTTTCTGCTATTTCTCTCGCCATCTTTTGTCTGCGTACCGACAGTCAGCAACGCTATTGCTAAAGTGCTACTGTTCGGCTTATGGTAAAGGAGTGTGATGGAGTGTGATGAGTAGGAAGAAGACGCCATTCCTGTCGGTGGACTGTATGCGGAGCATTTTCGCCTTCATGCTCCTTTGACCCTTAAATTTTGTGTTTCCGCCAAAAATTCCGGCCCCCGAAGCCGGATCTCGGGAAACGGCGCTGTGGACCCTTCCACGTCGTTGGTGCCGACAGCACGAGCCGTTTCGCGCATGATGCTCCTGCCTTCAATTCACATATCTGTGTCCGCTGCAAGACCACCTTACTTTCACCTGCAGCGCCCTAATCTGGATCTCAAGCGAGGTGCCAGCGGCTGGGAGCATTCGACTAGGCGTCATGGCTCGACCTTCCACCTTCTTCTCGCCAATCGTGCTCGTCGCGCTGCTGTTATTGGGCACGGTTCGGGCACAGTTCTTCCAGCAATTCTTCGGAGGCAATGCGGGCGGATCGATGTTTGGTCAACGGGAACAAGAGCCACCGCCGGTAAGTATGGCGTCTTGCGAGCTTTGAACAAGGCGCCGTGTCAAGTCTGACCCAGCTTGCTCTTTTGAATGCGCTATGCACGAATCAACTGCATGATGGCGGCACAGTCGGGCGACGCAAGCTGGTTCGAAGCAAGAGTGGATGCAGCTCAATGTACGCAGTACCTGTGTCCTCGCACTCTCTCGTGTGTGGCCAAGCCATCGCACTGTCCGTGTCCTTTCCCACAACAGATCCGATGCCCGTACAAAGACACCAACTCGATGGCCAAGGACCAGGCTAAGCGAGCGGGAGGCAGCTTCGACGGCGTAAATGCCGAGCTCGACCTCGGCGGCGGTGTCTGCATCTCTGCCGACAGCTGCGAAGAGGCCAACAGATTCCTACAAGGAAAGGCATAGGGTCATTCAGGTGCGGGCTTGCAATACGACACCGGTTCACCCATCCAACATTCACTCTGTCGCCTGACGGCTCTGTGCGAGATTTTGGTCGTCCGTTACAGAGATTGAAGACGTGATGGCGGGTATATCGGCGAAGCTGCTGAGAGATGATTTATCACGTCTTCCCTCGGTTCGGAAAGTTCTTTGCGATCAGTGCGGCAGCCTTCTTCTTGCGATCCTCGATAGCCTGTAGCTTGCGTTGACCTTCGGTAAGGGGTGCCGGGGCTGTGCAGCCATGGCTAATCGCAGATCGGTGCGTCGCGCAGAAGAGCCCTTTGCACCGGTCGCATCTGGGCGCCGCATGCTTAAAGGTCCGTTGAGGACTGGAAGGCAGGCCTGGATCCGAGGCTGCCGTTCGACTCTGTGAGTGAGGCGCCTGGACTTCGAAGCTGAGCTTTTTGCATCCTTGCTTCTGGCACGGCAGCCGACCTGATGAGCCCGAGGTTGCGATGCGTCGCAGAAGCTCATCGTCACTGAGCACCGTCGACTGGGCCTTTGCGCAGGCGTGCTGGTCGGGCAAGAAATGCGATTCGCAAAAGGTGATGATGCAGAGCGGACAAGGGACTGGCAGGAAGGACAGCCGCCCGCATGTCTCCAGTGCACAATGCTCGCCGGTCTCCATGATCGGTGGGATCTCCGAGTCGCTGCAGGCTATGTTGACGGCGAGTAGACCATGACCGGACCGGGCGCCGTCAATGTCCGAATGTGAATGCTCGACCCAATTCTCGAAGTATCGACGACCTGGTATGGAAGGTTGGAATTCGAGACCTATGTCGCTTGCATCAATAGCCTTGGACGAAACGATGGCGACATCAGGGTTAAGGCAGGACGCAGGGTCAACCCGGACTTCGGAGCAGCTTGGCGGCTATGCAAGGACGCTTCTCCGGAGTCTAACATGGTTTGGTAAAAAATTCGCCTAAAGTCCGAGTCTCACTCTGGCCCAGCAAGTGCGTAGGCGCTGTCATCGGGGGGTGGCGTGCTTTTGGAAGAGTGCGCTGCGCCGATCAGCCAAAATTTGGGCTTTTCACAGCGAACGCCATGGACGAGCGGTGGTCCTAGCGCGCCGTGACTGACTGCGCGGTGACTGACTGGACACTCAGCCTCTTGACTGGGTCTGGACGGCGATTAGACGCAAGTGTTGGTTGGCCGCGAGCAGAGTCTGCATGGCCGAAGTCAGAATGCACGTTGGGGCGAGGATCTCAGCTATATAAGTTACCTCCATCCTCATTGTCATCCGCATAGATCCTCGCACCTTTGCATCACCCCCACCGTATCCGTCACAATGGTTGTCAAGGCTATCGAGTCGTACGAGCAGTTCAAGAGCCTCGTAAGTGTCTGTGCATTGTGGCTTGATACCAGATCTGTTGTGCAACCTCGACGGTCTCTGACTTTTTTCTTGCTTCGTTCTTGCACTTTGGCATGCGATCAGATCGAAGGCGACAAGCCCATCATCATCGACTTCTGGGCTACCTGGTGCGGTCCCTGCAGGGTCATTGGCCCCATCTTCGAGAAGATCTCGGACACCCCCGCCGGCGACAAGATCGACTTCTACAAGGTCGACGTTGATGCCCAAGAGAAGATCTCCGCCGAGGTCGGCATCCAGGCCATGCCCACCTTTGTGATCTTCCACAAGGGCCAGCCCGTCAAGAAGATCGTTGGTGCCAACCCCAACGCCCTCCAGGTAAGTACTTGTGCCATGGCACTTTGATTCTGCATCCGTGCCGGCATGCTAGCTGCACGCGACCGTTTGCATGAGCTTCTATTGACACTTTGTCTCGCTTGTTCCTTGGATGTTGCCTTTCGAATTTTGCAGACTGGCATCACCGAGATTGCCAACGGCCTTTAAGGACAACATGGCGTTCCTTGCACTACTGTCGTGTTGACCGCCGCTTGTACCAGTGTTGTCTCAATACCAACTCTTTCTCGCCCAGACGTTGTTTTACTTTTGAGAACCCGTGGTGTTCCCGGTTTCGCTGTAGTTCCAAGCCTTGGACCTCCCGCGTGCGACTATGGCTCGTCACCATGCGCGCACTACGATGTAACGCGTGGTCGATGCTCGCGGTGAAGGTTGGCGTTTCCACTGCTATATGAGGTTGGCAAGTGCGCACTTGAATGGACAGCATCGAGCAGCACCGGCAGTGCGGTGGCGGCGGCAAGATGCACCTCACGAAGATATCGGGCATCTTCAGGGATCTTTTATGGAATCGGTGATGTGTTCATTCTATCGTACGAATCGCTCCCCTCCGCGACCAGGACGCGACCAGGACGGCAGTTCTGGTCGCGGAGTTGCCGGAACTTGCGTCTCGTCCGGCCAAGGGTGATGCGAAAATGTCCGCATTTTTCACGCGGGCGTCCTCCACATGCATCCAGGCCGGCACAATCGCGACCTTTTGACCCGGCTTCCGCTCCACGAAGGAAGGCGATCCGCACTTGGATGGCCATCTGACGTCGGCGTCAACCTCGGTTGCGCAAGTGCGAAGAGGCAGCCAAAAGAGGCATGCTACCGGATCCAACGGCCTAGACGGCCTCGCACTGGAGCGTTTGCGCCGCTTGGGATTGCACAAGCCCCCGCCCGCACTTGCTTCGGCTGCGACAGCTCACCGTAAGGTTTTGCCCCGTCCTAGGCTGCCTATGACGCAGCGTGCGTGCTCTTCTGGTCAAGTGGAACCTCGACCGATGCTGATCGAGTCAAAAGCGTGCGTGGACGCCAGCTTTGCCAGGGCGACAGGATAGCAGCAGCCAACGTGTGGGCGTGCGCTTTCAACTCGAGCCTCTGCGGGGTGGGGGCTCGACGGGATGGATGCCAGGGTCGGGCGCGGGCCATCGAGCTGGAAGCGGGCGAGCAGTCGATCGGAAGGGACGTTATTTCCACTTGGCCCGGCCAGAAATTCCAAAGGCCAACTGCAGCACCGGCAGTGGACGGTAGGAGGGGTGGAGGTCTTGCGCCCGTGCGGCAGTCTCCCCCTCTCTCCGCATACTGGCGCCCATTTCACGCTCTGCTCGAGGCAGCTGCAGAACCGGCTCTCAGGCGCTTGAGCGGCCGAGTTGGCGCACCCACTGCCCGGTTGCGGTGGTTGCAGGCCGGAAGCCTTCAGCTTTTTCTCCACACTTGCGCGCGAACGAGGCAGCAGCTGCCGCTGAAACCACGCTCGCACATCCACGCTCCTGCCCGAGCTTTTGCGATCGGCGCATCCTAGCCCAAGCAGGCGGCTAGAGTATATAGACTTCTGCGTCGACCGTCCTCGCGTGCGTCTCATCTTTCCACCAACCATCCCGGCGTCGTCATTCCCAGCGCCTCCTCTCTCTATTCTCCTTATCTCCAAAGATCTCCATCCCATCGCAACCACCAAAACGTCATCCATAATGTCCGTCGAAGGTGTCCGTGTGCTCGGTAGGTATCTCTCCAAATCTGGCTCTGGACTGCCACCTCAATCGGCTCTGTCTGCGTTCGCAAAGAACTGACCATCTTCTCGCTGCTGTGCCTCTGCCATTCTGCTTCGACCGACAGGCAAGATCGAGGGTGACCAGGCATCCATCCTCACCCCCGAGGCTCTCAGGTTCCTCGCTGTTCTCCACCGCTCCTTTGACAGCACCCGTCAGTCGCTGCTCAAGGCCCGTCAGCTTCGACAGGCCCGATTCGACGGCGGCGCGCTGCCCGACTTTCTCCCCGAAACCGCTCACATCCGAAACAACCCTACCTGGCAATGCGCTCCCCCCGCACCCGGTCTGCGTGACCGACGTGTGGAGATCACCGGTCCCGTCGACCGCAAGATGGTGATCAACGCGCTCAACTCGGGTGCCTACACCTACATGGCCGACTTTGAGGACTCGACCTCGCCCACCTGGGCCAACCTGATGGACGGCCAGGTCAACATGCGCGCCGCCATCAACCGCAGCATCGACTTCAAGGTGAACAACAAGGAGTACAAGCTCAAGCCTCAGGGCCAGACCGCCGTGCTGCTCGTGCGCCCTCGTGGATGGCACCTCAACGAGGAGCACATTGTCGTCGACGGCAAGCCCATGTCCGGCTCGCTCGTCGACTTTGGTCTCTACTTCTTCCACAACGCCCACGAGCTCGTCCGATCCGGCTACGGCCCTTACTTCTACCTGCCCAAGATGGAGAGCCACCTCGAGGCGCGTCTGTGGAACGACGTCTTCAACCTCTCCCAGGACTACATCAAGATGCCCCGTGGCACCATCCGCGGCACCGTGCTCATCGAGACCATCACTGCCGCCTTTGAGATGGATGAGATCCTCTACGAGCTGCGCCAGCACTCTTCGGGTCTCAACTGTGGTCGATGGGACTACATCTTCTCGTTCATCAAGCGCCAGCGCTACAACGCCGGTTCCATCCTCCCCGACCGTGCCGCCGTGACGATGACGGTGCCCTTCATGCAGGCCTACGTCAACCTGCTCATCCAGACGTGCCACAAGCGTGGTGTCGCTGCTATCGGTGGTATGGCTGCGCAGATCCCCATCAAGGACAACCCGCAGGCCAACGACGCCGCCATGGAGAAGGTGCGCGCCGACAAGCTGCGCGAGGTGCAGGCCGGCCACGACGGCACCTGGGTTGCGCACCCTGCTCTGGTCAAGATCGCGCTCGAGATCTTTGACAAGAACATGCTCGGCCCCAACCAGTACCACGTGCGCCGCGAGGAGGTCAAGGTTTCGGCGCTCGACCTGCTCAACTCGAACGTGCCCGGTCAGATCACTGAGGCGGGTGTGCGTGCCAACGTGGCGGCGCTGCTCGTGTACTGCGCCAACTGGCTCAACGGTCTCGGCTGTGTGCCCGTGGCCAACATGATGGAGGATGCTGCCACGGGTGAGATCTCGCGCCTGGGTCTGTGGTCGTGGGTGTACCACAAGCAGAAGACGGCCGAGGGCAACGCCATCACGCCTGCCTACATCGACCGCATCCTGGACGAGGAGGCAGCCAAGGTGTCCAAGATCGGCGCCAGCGTCGAGAAGGCCAAGCGCTACATTGCCGACCAGGTGCGCGCCCCGGCGCCGGACGAGTTCCTCACCACCGCCCTCTACTCGCACCTGCCTCACCAGCACGCCCCTGCCCGCATCTAAGGGGTGCGAGTGGATCGATGGCGTCGTTCGCGCGCAACAACGCGGTGTCACCATCTCGATTTCGTCTCTTGTAATGTATGCAACGCAACGTGTCTTTCCGGTATCTTCGACTTCTCTTGCCTGCTTGTGTGTGGACCACCTGTGCGAGACTCTCAGTCACGGCCTATCACGGACACGGCTCTGTCGACGGAGCTCGTAGAATGCTCGTCAGCTTGACCCTCCGTATGAAGGATCGCAGGGTCGCATGACCTTCAATATGTTAGATCGTCTTGCCGAGAGTTGCTGATGCAGGCAGGCATGCGTGTCAGGCGAGTGGTCTAGACTCGGTCGCGGTCTCGACCCTGAGCTGGCCGGTGCGCCCTCGCCTGAGTCCGGGGCGCGAAAGCAGCAATCTGACTCCAGATTCTGTGTGCCTTTCAGCAAGATTCGAGTGCGAAACGTGGATGCCACGCATGCACGCCGGCCAGGCGAACGGTTTGGTTGGAGCTGATTAAGGTTTGAGAAAGTCGAGAACTGAGAGGCGTGGCGAAGCGGCTACGATGCATGGCCGCTCACGAAACGGATCAGCCGAGTTCGGTTGCTGAGAAGGTCTGGCCAGGAAAGGCTGTAGCTGACTTACCCGGTGCCGCTGTGAGCATGGTCGCCTCTGCCACATCACAGACTTCCGAGGTGTTTCGTCTTCCTCCCAGTCACCACCATCCTAGAGCACCGCCGTCTCCCCGTACTGATCCAGCATCGAAGCCGACTAGCATCACAGCACACCTAACTACTCATAGACCTCTAGGTCAGAGCCATCTGCATCGCACTCACTTTCCAACTCTCGACGACGCTCGGTGCCAGTTCGAACTGCACTCGGCCAACGGCATCCCAGCTCATCGACCCGCCCGCTACCACCTGGTACTGCCGGACAATCCAGACTCGCGGAGCCTTAGGCCAACGAAGAGGTCTACCTTTCATTCAAGTTTTCGTAAGTACCACCCAGCGCGCGGAGCAAAGCCGTCAGACGAGTGCCGGACAAGGGCGAACCAAGCGGTTTGGAAGAAATTAAAATCGGGACTTGGATGGTCAGATAGCATCGGCGATGGCACCCATCGGGGTCCGGATGGAATGCGGGGTTGCACGGCGAGATTGGCATCCGCGCAGTGGCGCCGCCATGTGGATTCGTGCAGAAGCGAAGCCGCATTCTGGCACAACAGCCGCCCGGGCAGATCTCTCGCTGCATCTTCCGCCGTTGATGTTCCGGCGTTCGGCACCTTCCGACATGGCGTGCCGGACCTGCCGCATAGCCGTTGACCAAGACTAGCCAAAGCGAGCTGGTCCACAATACCAAGGGGGGAACCACGAAGCTCGCAAGGTGGCTCAGCAGCGGTAGTGACGGCGGATCCGAAAGTCCAGTCGGAGCTCAGTGTCGAGTCGGAGTCCTTCCGCGGGCCTGCATGTTGGCTCAGTGTTTTCCTGTCGAATTACCCGCCGCCGAGACTAGACCGTTGCTGGATCTGACCCTTTTGGTTCTTTCAAACTCTGTGCTTGGCTGCTGCAGTAGGCTGAGCCAGCCTTCCCCACGCAGCTGTGCACCATTAGCGAGCCATTCAGCGACCCGATCGAGGTAAGTGTCCTTCTTTTCTGAACGCTGCGGCGCGAGGCCTTGGCCTTGATTGCACCGAAAGCTGGGATGATTGGAGCGGTGGTACAGTCGGCGCTCCGCTTGAAACGAGAAAGGCAAGACCAAGCGGACCGAGTCGAGCCACGGCTGGAGACGTTTGCGCCTCGAGGTTTTGACCGTTTCAACAGCGATGGGCGGAGAGCCAGTTCCGCATGATGGATTTGGCTCCGAATTCGCTCTGCGATTTCACCTCGACGGCCCGTCGAAGAAAAAAAAAAAGGGGACGCGGTGGGGTTCGCGTGCGCTTCTCGATCGGCCTTTGACATCGCCCAGCCGGGATCGCGCTCACTCGCGTTTTCCGTTGTTTTCCTGTGCTCTTCCTGCTGCCGCGCGAACTGCGCGTTGTTCCTGAGCCCTGCTGCCGTACGCAAAACCCGACGCCGGACATCGGTGGTCCAGTGCACTGCACTGCACTGCACTGCACTGCACCGCACTGCTCCACCCGTCCCTCTCGCTGACTACTGCGATCCGCTGCATGCCGCGCCCCTCGTCGATTCTCGTGCTTCTCCCGCTCCAGCGCCGTCGGCTCTTGCTGCGCTCTTGGCTGGATCTGCAAAACTGACCTGGCTACAAGCCTACCCACTCTGCATTCTCTCCTCTCCGCCCCGACCCAACGCAAACTCGTACACTCTCTCTTCGCCTTGCCGCGCCGCCCTGCCATCCGGTGTGTCCAACCTTGCCTCACCTCCGGCCCGCTTCACGCTCTCTCCTCGTCGTCGTTCTCTGGCGGTTCTGTCTTTGACCCTCGTCGGCGTTTTCCCTCTTTTTCGACTGCGCCCAATCTTTGGCTCTTCACACTTTCTCCCTGCCGGCTGGGGTTGTGATCTACACTCTCCGCGTCGTCTCGTCCTACCCTTCCACCATCATCCACGTCCTCGATACGGACGCCTCCTCCCTCACTTTCGCTGCGCCCATCCGCGCATGGTCGAGGAAGCAGGAATCTGTCCGCCGTCGATTGCTCCTCCCCCGTCTCCGTCTCGCCTCGGCTGATTCGTTCCAAGGCGGTCATCCATTCCGACCCACGCCTTCCGCTGCCAGCGTCCTTCGCAAGTCCTTTGTCTTTCTCCTGGCACCGCGTCGCCTCGCAGCTTTCTCATCCGGCATCCATCTGCCTCACTCCACCCTCGACGATACTCCGGTTCTTGGGCTCTCACTCAACGAGTCCTAGAACGCACGCGGAGTGTCCCACACCTCCGTCATCATTTCAGACCACCAACCTCGCTCGGAACCTCTCCAGCCTCCTCCTTCGCGCAAACGACCCGTCACAGAGGCAGACGTCGACACTTCGCCCCTATCGCTCCCCGACAAAGAGTCCAGCTCCACCTTCCCGGCAGCCTTGGCCGCCGCCTCCTCCTCCGTCCAAAAGAGGGCGCGATTCGAGAGCCCCGGCGGTGGTCCCGCTCCTGCCACCAACAACACCTCTTTACCCATCAACACCGAGTCCTTCCCGCCTCACTACACCCCTCTGCCCCCCACCAAGGCCACAAACCCTAGAGCCGCACATCCCGTCCGCTCCAACAGCACTTTCGGCTCCTTCCACTCCTCCGCTTCCGGTACCTCCAACAGCAACCCCAACTCGCCCTCCAACGCCAGTTCCAACCCCATCTCGCGCAGGTCGCACGCATCCACACTCGACCCACGCTCGCCCCCGGCCCCTCTGGTGCCCTTCCCAGCCGGCTCGTCCTCCTACTTCGCCGACTCGTCCGCCAGGATGTTCGATCTCGATGAGTCAGTCAGGGCGCTGTACTTTGCGCCCACCCCCATCGTCGTTCTCGACCACAATCGCAGGATCCGCATGATGAATCGTCCGTGCGAGAGCATCTTCCTCATGACCGGTGTCAGTTGCATGGGTCAAACCATGGACAGACTCATCATCGAAAAGCACCGCGCCGACTTCACCACCGCTCTCAACGAGGCTGCACAGGTGCGAGCCACCGCCGCATGGGCTCCCCCCGTCCTCACCCGCCTCACCTTCCTCCAGGATGACCAGAAGATGTTTTCCGCCGACATGAACATCTCGGCGTGGCATCCCACCGATGAGGTCTTCTCCGAGACCTTCAACAACCACTTTGCGCGCTCCCTGTCGGGCGACGCGGAAAAGAGCGTCGACCTGGACAACGAGCCCTCGCCTGGCACGCCGCAACGCATGGACTCGATGGAGACGCGCGCATCCACCCTGCCCCACGAGTCCTACTTCACCATTAGCATCGTTCCCACCCGCCTCGCCGAGAGACGCATGAGCCCTGCCGATCTCGAAACGACCAAGGCGGAAGAGCTCAAGGAAGGTGTGTTCCATACCATCGAAACTGCCATCATGGCGCTCTCTGCCGACGGCTCCACCGTCGTGCGCAACCGCGCTTGTGACGAGTTGCTTCAGATGTTCCAAAAGAAGAATCCTCAGGACAAGCCCAAGAAGGACAACGCCCCCAAGAAACCCACCAAGGACGGCCTCGAAGTCGATCTTTCCTGGCTTTCTGACGTCATGGACTGCTACACCGAAGATTTCAGCGAGCCTTTCCCTGAACAGAACTGGCCGATCTACCGCGCAGCCATCCTCGGCCAACTCACCAAGCCTGTCCGCATCGGATGCGTTGCCACCGACACAGGCGCGAGGCGTGTATACGAGATCGTGGCCAAGCCGGTACGTGGAGCTGGTGGATTCGGTGAGCATGTGGGTGGTGTCATCACTCTCATCGATGTAACCGATACCGACAAGCAGCGTAAACTCGAGGTGGAACAGAAGGGCGAAGAGTACTTCCGCACCATCTGCGACAGTATGCCCCAACTTCTCTGGACCGCATATGCCGATGGACACCACGATTGGTACAACGAGGGCTGGTACCGTTACACTGGTCTCAACCGCCAGGACTCGTCTGGTGTAGGATGGCAGCAGGTCTTCCACGAGGATGACATGGTCGAGACCAACAAGCGTTGGTCTCATTCTCTGCGCACCGGCGAACCTTATCAGACCATGTATCGGTGCAGAAAGTACGATGGCAGCTGGAAGTGGATGCTGGGCCGTGCCCTGCCCCTTCGCGATCAGAATACCGGGAAAATCATCAAGTGGTACGGCAGCTGCACCGACTGCGACAACGAGGTCAAGGCGCTGGAAGCGTCGCGCAAGTCGCAAGCGCAGCTGACGAGCGTCATCAACCATGCGCACGTCACCATCTGGGCCATCGACCGTGATGCCATCATCACCATCGCCGAGGGTCCTGGTGTGCGTTCGCTCCGCCTCGCTCCTGGCACGCCCAATGGCTCGGACGGCGATGGCTCAGGCTCTGGCAACTCGATGTCCGGCTCCATTCCTGGTGGCGGCGCCGTACATGCACGCAGCGAAGACATGAAAGACGCGGAATCGCAGACCAACAGCCAAAGCGCGGTAAGCGGCCAGGGCAAGCGCTCGAATCAGCGAAGCATGATTGGACGCAGCATCTTCGAGGTTTGGGACTCGCCCGGAATCCGAGAGGCCATCAGCCGTGCACTCAACGGAGAGTCGGTTGTCCAGGAGATGGAGATCGAAGGTCGTTGGTTCCGCACGCAATACACGCCGCAGCGCGAAGAGTCGTACGAGCACGACGCCAACGAAGGACCCATCATTGGTGTCGTCGGCGCATCAGTGGACATCACAGATCGCAGGCGCGCCGAGCTCAAGCTCGAGGAATCGATGCACGAGAGGTCGCGTGCCCTCGCCGCCGAGACCGCGGCCAAGGAGGCTAGCAGGATCAAGTCCGAGTTCCTCGCCAACATGAGCCACGAAATTCGAACGCCTATCGCCGGTGTCATTGGATTGTCGGAGCTGCTGTGCGATACGCAGCTGACCAAGGAACAGCGCGACTTCGCCGAAAACATCCAGCGATCCGCGGACGCTCTGCTCACCGTGATCAACGACATCCTCGACTTCGAGAAGCTCGAGCTTGGCAAGATGGACCTCGAGAAGACTGCCTTCAACCTCAACGTGGTCATCATGGACACGCAAAAGATGCTCACATTTGCCACGCAGAAGAAGGGTCTCGAGTTCCGCAACGAGTGCCAGCTCAACTACACTGGTCAAATCACTGGCGATGCCGGCAGGTTGCGGCAGGTATTGACCAACCTCCTGACCAACGCCATCAAATTCACCGCGACGGGCGCCATCACGCTTCGGGTGATCGAGACCTACGAGGACCCGAAGAGTCTACATGTTCATTTTGAAGTGCGGGACACCGGATGTGGTATCTCGCAGACCACGCTCAAGAAGCTCTTTCAGCCTTTCAGCCAGGCCGATCCTTCCTTTGCTCGTCGATTCGGCGGCACGGGTCTCGGTCTGTCGATCTGCAAAAACTTGGTGGACCTCATGGGCGGCACCATCGGCCTGGAGTCCGTGGAGAACAAGGGCTCCAACGCATGGTTCAGCATTCCCTTCGAAAAGGTGCACTCGATCGAAGCCGGCGGCGATTCGTCTCCGGACGAAGAAGGCGTGTCCGAGATGCAGATGGATGAGGCAACCAGCAGCCTTGGCGTGAGCGAGAATCCCCTGCAGCGCCCTCGCAAGGACATCTGGATCCTGGTGGCGGAAGACAACCTCATCAACGCTCAGATCGCGCTCAAGACGCTCAAGAAGATGGGCTTCAGCTGCAAAGTGGCCAAGGATGGCCTCGAGGCGGTCGAGGAGGTCGGCAAGCAGCCTTACGACCTCATTCTCATGGATTGCCACATGCCCAACTGCGACGGCTACGAGGCGACCAAGCGATTGCGAAAGTCCGAGAGTGTCGACATCCGCACCACACCCATCATCGCCATGACCGCCTCGGCGATTCGAGGCGATCGCGAAAAGTGCCTCGCGGCGGGCATGTCGGACTACCTCTCCAAGCCGGTCAAGAGTGCTGCGCTCGAGTCGACGCTGGTCAAGTGGCTGTTTGACCCGTCCACGCGACAGTCACTCTCCAAGTATGTGGCGCCACCGGTGCAGGGTGACTACTTTGGCGCGAAGAAGCCTGGAAGTGGCGTGCTGGAGGTGATGATCCCAAAGGCTGGCCAGCCCGGGTCGCCACCGCAGCTGATCGAGCGCGACTCGACCGAGACTGTCATGGGTCCACGCTCGATCCAGTCGGGACGCCGCGGCTCTTTCAACCCGATTGCCGAGCGCGAAGCGATTGCGTCCGAGATCGCAGCTTCCCCTTCACCCGTTCTGGCGTCGGCGCCGCATCCTCTTCGATCCTCGGGCGCGGAGCGGTCCGGAAGCGCGTCGCTCGACGCGCTTGCGAGCGAGGCGTCGATGCCAGCATCACGCAACGAGAGCGACGACGAGCCGATCGAGTCGATGGTGGCGGGCCCCACGCTGTCCAAGACGAGCAAGCGGCGTCTGTTGCGCCATGGCCCGGTCAAGGTGGTGTGCAACGATCCGATGCCCACCAAGTTCAAGCCGGCGCCCAAGACGCTCTCGGCGCCCGAGGTTGCACTGGCGGACAAGCCGCCCATATTCATCCGGCGGTCGTCGCGCGAGCAGGGCGGGCTCGGCCGCGATCTCGAGGGCGAAGTGGTGCGCGCCATGGAAGACGGCCAGGACGGCCCGTCGCTCGGCGTCTCGATGGAGGAGTCGCTCGAAGATGTCCATGCCGAAGTCTCGCAGGAGGAGGCCGGAAATATCCACGTCCGCGCATAGAAGAATCTTTCCCCTTTTCTCTCTCTCCAAGTCTCTCTCACGTTCTCTTTCCCGCGTTCCGATGTTGCTCTCCTCTTGTATGGTTACGGGTGTATCAGCCATTTCTTTATGCGGCTCTTTTAGGAAATTGCGTTCATGTGCACAGTAGGTCGAGCGTGGGATTGCGGCGGTTGGATGGGAGCTAGACGACGAAAAAGGGCTCTTGCTGTTCCTTGTCGCTTTGCGCCGAGTCGGAGGCAAAGTCGTCCGAGGGGCCGTTGGTGGGCTTGCGATTGGCGCGCTTTTGCTTTTTGAGTTGGCGGTAGTCTTCGTTCCAGTCGTCCTCCTCTTCCTCGTCGTCGTCGTCGTCTGTTTTGGCCGGTTGGGGTTGGGATTTGAGGAAGGCACGTTTGGCGGCGCGTTTCTCCTTGCGCACGGCACGAAGTTCCTTGCGCTCCTTCTGGGCCGACCAGGCGCCGGCCCCCGGCTCCCTCTTCTTTGCGCGGCGCTTGGCGGCTACCGAATCGTCCGAGTCGTCCGAGTTGTCTGAATGCTCGTCCGCCTTGGCTTGTGCCGCTTCTTTGTCGGCGATGATCTTTGCCTGGCGTGCTTTCTCCTTGGTCTTGTCTTTGTACGCTAGCGCGTTGAGGTCGAACGATTCTTCGTCGTAGACGAGGCCGGCGGCTTTGCGTGCCTTGAGTTCGGGCATGGCGGGCAGACGGATGAGACCAAACGCGTGCGCGACGGCCCCAAGGTCCAGGTCGGAAAGACGGAAGATGTACGACATTTCGTGTTTGCTGTATGCGCGCGTGTACGAGACGAATGCGCGCACCGAGAGCTCCCACACCTCGCGATCTTGCCGACACAGCGTACGAATCGAAGCCTCGAGCTCGCGCGCACCTGCATCGCCATCCTCCTCTGCAGGCTCCACTGCTCCTTCGAGAGATGCAGAGAGGTACGGGTAGGGTGCGAGTGGGATGCGCTTGACTGCCAAGTAGCTCACCAGATCCTCCTCGCGACCGGCATGGAGCATAACGATCGCCCGTCCGCGTCGGCCTGCTCGAGCCGTACGTCCACATCGGTGCGAAAACACCTTCGGGTCCGTAGGCGGGTCGTACTGCACCACCACTTCGACGTCGGGCAGATCCAACCCACGCGCCGCAACGTCTGTGCAGAACAGCACCGTTGCTCCCCCACCCCTTGCATCGAGTGAGGTACTTGCGACGAATGCTTCGAACATGCTCTTCCTCTTGGCGGGCGTCTGCTTGCCGTGCAGAGCATGAAGCTTCATGCGGTGCTGCTTGAAGAGCGGCAATTGGCTGAAGACCGAGTAGAAGAAGTTGACCTGCGCGCACGTGCTAAAGTAGACGATGAACTTCTTCGCGCCACCACTCATGCCTTTCTCGCTGCTCTCGAACAGCAAGATGCGCAACAGTTGAGCCAGCTTGTTCTCCGGACGCGAGACCTGGAAGAGGTTCTGCAGCGACGCGGGTGTTCGCCTGGACTCGTCAGCTTTTGACGAGGATGCTTTGGTGCCGGCCTTGGTCTTTGCCTCCACTTTGACCACGACACGCACGGGGTTTCGGAGGCCCATGCGGACGAGTTCGGAGAGCGCGTCGGTCATAGTGGCGCTGAAGAGACCCGTGCGGCGTTGCTTGGGAAGCAGCGAAAGGATGCGGTGCAGATTCTCGGTAAAACCCAGGTCGAGCAGTCGGTCTGCCTCGTCGAGCACCAGGACGTCGAGCTCGCCCTTCTTGACGCCCTTCTTTGTCAGCAGCTCTTCCAGCCGTCCTGGTGTTCCCACCAGGATATCGGCACCTCCATCACGGAACGTTCGGTAGTCATCGAGCGGCGTGCTCTTTGACCCTCCCACGACGAGCTGTGCGCCAGCAATCCTTGTTGTCTTTTTCGGTGCCTGCGCAACAGCCTGCTTGCGCTTCTGCGTGGCGCGACTGGCAGGTGCATCCGAGTCACTGTCACTGTCATCCTCGCTTGGCGAAGCGGCGTTGTCGTCGTCGTTCTCAGCGGCCGCTTGAGCCTCTTCCGATTGGCTTTGAGCGTCGAGGAACGTGTTGATCACCTTGTAGATTTGTTCTGCGAGCTCGCGGGTGGGCGATACGATGAGTGCACCCACCTCGTCCTTCTTGAGCTTGGTGGAGCGGCGGAGGAGCATCTCGAGCACCGGAATGACAAACGCAAGAGTCTTGCCGGAGCCCGTTACCGCCTCAACAATCACATCCTTGTGCGAAAGGAAGAGTGGGATGGTCGAGGCCTGTACGGGCGTCATCTGTGCAAAGCCCATATCTGCGAGCAGGGAGAGAAGCCATGGCGTGAGGGGTGGCGAGAGCTTGGTCCATCTGCCGGCGTACGAGGGCGCAGTTCGCAGCTCGGATGGCCCGGCGGTGGCCAATGTCGATGTGCCGCTCATCGCTGCGTATACGGCGTGCTCGGAGCCAAATGTGATGCTGAGGATGCAGGATGGCGGATGGAAGGCAAGGCAAAGAGGCCGTGTGTGGAAAGTCAAGTCTTCTCGGTCCAAATTTTGAGCAGAGAGGTGAACCCTTGCGCTCCAAGGCCGACTTCTCCACTTCACTTCGGTCCAAAAATTTTGGCAGGGTCAAAGGGCAAAAAGAAGAACTGCAGCACCTAGGATTCC